TCGCTGCTAGGTTGGAGGCCATCCCTATTAGGTTGGAGGCCATCGCTATTAGGTTGGAGGCCGTCGCTATTGGGTTGGAGGCCATCGCTAATAGTTTATGGTTTTTTCACTCTTTTTCAAGAATAGGCATGCAAGTGGGAATCAATTCCAGCAGTCCAGCATCTTCTTGGCACACAGTTTTGAGCAACAATGCCGCCGCAACATATTGTGTATGGCTCAATTGAATTATCCTGGCAAGTGTAGAAGAACCGCAAGGGAAGCGGTTAAGTAGGAAACTACGTTTTATGGACAACATGAAACATCACACATATGACCGCACTCGTACGACTCGTATGAGATCACACATATATGCACAAAGCTTGCCTAAGGATTCCCTGCGCACCGAATCCACCCCCCCAAGCGAACCCTCGATCTAGACCCCTCTCCTTTTTGCCACTTCATGCTACAATGCCACGCTATTAGGTTGGAGGCCATCGCCACTGGGGTGGAGGCCATCGCTCTTAGGTTCCTTAAAGCTCTAAGGTTCTTTCCAATTCCGCTAAGCGCTTGGCTCTTTCAGCTGCTCCTCCGACCTCTGCAGCCGTGGCGGCAGCGTTTGAGATGCCCCAAGGGCTGTGCGCGGCCGCTGCGCGGTCCGCCGTTCGGCGGGCCTGGCACACAGTGGACGGTGAACAGTCAGTCGATGAAGCCGTAATCGATGGCCTCCACCTGGTCTAATGTCAACCAATAGAGGAGTTCAGAACTTCAAGCATTGTCAGCTCACTGAAAGCCTCCATTTGATCGCTACATGCTCCTTCGAGAACCTTGATTGTTAGAAGCTTTCAGAGACTTAACTTTGAATCCTGAAACGATTTATCAATCCTTGAGATCTCCAAGGCATTTGGACAGCCGCGCTGCCTCCATGGGGGTACCAGCACGGAGCCCAGGTGGCCCAGCAGCAGCAGTGCCTTTGTAAGTCACATGGATTGGCTCTGGGGCGAGCGCAACATACATCTGATTAATGTTTGTGGCCATCGCTATTAGGTTCCTTGAAGTCTTCTTTCTATAAGGGTTCCCAAGGCCCCTGCAAGAAGAGATCTACGGCGTGCCATCGCAGCAACCACTAGGATGCGCTGTCGCTGTGGCGTGGGTGAGAAAGACCCTGGATCAATGATGAATCACGGTGTCGCCAAACGGGCAAGTTTGAAGAACACACTGTTTGTACCAAGCAGGAAGCAGGAAGTCTGAAGCTGCCGACAAACCATCCCAAACGATGAACCGCGAACCTTCAAGCCGAAGTGCAACCCTAATCCTCACCGCTTTGTGCGAGGCTTGAGCGAAATTGGCACACGAAATGCTCTGCGTCATGAGATTCCTCTGGGTCACTTGTGGCAATCACCCCATTTTTAGAACACAGCAGAACATGAAGCCTTTGATCATGCCTCGTAGGCAACGAGCAAATCACTCAACCACTTCCCCGGCCCTCGCCTCTTCATGGGCAAAACCTTCCAGCAAGGTTCTTGCCTGGCAAAATTGTATGAACCTTGCCTGTGCGACTCATGTGTATGAGCTTTTGCCCCTTAATGACCTTGTCAATTGGAGTTAAAAGGAGGAGTCGACAAGCAGCGACAACAGTCCGTGTTGCCCAGCACCGCCTTCTCAGCACGTTCGGCCTGTACAGTATGGTTGAGACTGAGCATCTGAAGCACCGCTAAAGCCAAAAAGTCTTCTGAGTCAAGTGTCGGTTCTTTGCGGCTCCAAAGAAAGACTCAAAGTGGTCCTGCCTTTGCCAAGTTCAGGGCATACTCACCCTGCCTCAGACGGCTATAGGCTATCGACGGCTATCGAGGAATGCTCACATCGTCATGTGTTACCGATCGTGTGACTTTGTCCTTTCCTTTAAGCCCAAGAGTCTTTGCGATGTCATCAACACCGGCCTTGCAGCAGAGACCAACTCTCAGCAAATACCAACATGGAAGCGGGTTCAAGGAACCTCCAAAAGTGTTTGATGATCAAACATGGAAGGCAAATCCAATGTTGGTTTGAGTCTGGAATCATCCTGCTTCTCATTAGGATCCACTTTAAGCTAGTTGCCGATAAATTTGCTGTAGAGTATCCAATCGGTGCCGAAATACTTCTTTTTGGTACTATCGTAGGCTGTCTCGATCTTTTGGGTAGCTGCCTCGATTGACTCAAGTTACGCAATGCTTTTTGATCGGTGTGCATGTCTGAAAGGTTTCGATGCCTTTTTTACAAGACCCTTTGTCTTTTAGTTTGGTACTTGGATGTCCGCTTGTATTTCTCACATATTACAAAGCTACATTCTCGCATTCATCCGCATTCCACATTCCCGCTACCCTCCGCACCTTGAGACCAGGTGGAGGCACCACACCAGGCACCTCAATCCCCGTGCGGGCTCATCAGTGGCCCTAGGCCTACGCTACTGCTGAACATGCAGAATTGTTCGTTTCTCATGGCTTCCATCGAAGACATTGCCAAACGTGCAACACGGATTGAGCTCCTGCCTCTACAGGTTGCGCCTGCGCAAGGACGAGCTGTGCAAATGATTCCTCAAGTATTTTGGATGCTGTGGAGGCATCTAAGGCTGCTCGCTGCTGCTAGCTGTTTGGGTCCCATGTTTCATGGAACATGTTATCCTCAAGAAAACAACTGGCTGGCAGGAGACACTACCGAACAAAGGAGATACAAAGGTTGAAATCACTTTCACATGCGACCGACAAAGGGCATCGATAGCTGCTTTCAGTGCCGAACCCCTCCCTACGCGATCGACACTGCGACTTGCACCGCGACGGCAGATTCTCCCCGACGGTGTAACAGAACGACGCCAAGCGAAGGATCAGAAAGAATGAACTTCTAATAGCAAAAGGAATGATGGCCTCCAACCAAATAGCAGTGCCCTCCGACCTAAGAGCGATGG